TCCTCATTCTCCTTTGACCCATCTTCATTCATTAGCCTGAAAGTTATGAGTGTTCCCCAGGGCCCTGTCCTGGATTGTTTTCTCTTCTTGATCTCGTCAGCTATTGTGGATTCAGTTATCACTCTGTTCAGATGATTCTCAGATCTATTTGTCCAGCCCTAAACTCTCTCCTGAAAACCAGTATCGCATCTCTACCTGTCTGTTGGACGGCTCATACTGGATGTCTCATAGACTTCTGAAACTCAACATGAGCACAGCTGAAATATCTTTCCTCCCAAACTCTCCCCTATTCCTTACTTTTTTGTTAAGAATATCACCATGCGTTCAGTCACCCAGGCCCACAACCCTCTTGAACCAAGCCCTCTTGACTCCTCCGAAATTCCTTTCTTCAGTTTCCTCTTCTCTCTTCTTAGAACGTCACCACCGTGGTGTAAGCCCCATGTCCCACAACAGGACTGTTCAAATAGCCTACCCAGTACTACTCATAATACTGCCTCTTCTCTCTCCACTCCTATCCCATTCTCCACTTAACTGTCAATGTGATTCTCCTCATGTGTCGGTCTGAATGTAGAAGCCTCCCCCTCTTTCTTAATAAACGACAATGGTTCTCTGTTACCTCCAGTATCAAATATAAAAATCCTCTGGCAGTTAACATCTTTTATATGCTGTCTCCTTCCTACCTTTCCAGTCTTCTTTTTTATACTTTACTCTGGAGTCAAGACATCACCTGTCAATCTTCTTTCTTATATCTTATTCTGGAGTCAAGATGTCACCCATCATGTCATTGGTCTTCTGAAAGGAAGGACAAACAAGTCCAGACTTCCCTCCATGTGCTTTTCCATCCAGTGACACTGGTTTCCTTCTTATTCCTCTGACAACTGGAGATGGTTTATTCAATCTCTAATCTCCTTGCATTTTCATCGGCTGTCCCTCATGTGCCTCATGTCTCTCCACCTCTCTGATTCCCTGACTTCAATCTCACCTTCTTCCCAGTTCCTCTCAATGCCAGTTCCTTCCCTCTGAAATTAGCTCCAATTTGTGCTCTAGGTATTTTATATGTGCCACGTTGTTTTCATGTTTTTGCCCACATTATATTGTCAGCCCCTAAAGGCAGGGACTTTTTTTTTTTAAACCTTTCTTCCTATCTTCAGCACTGACATAATGCCTGGAGCTTAATAAAGGCTTGGTGACTGACTGAAGTACATCCTGCTTCTGTCTAACCTATGTTTATCACAGCAGCATGGTGTAATGGTTAGAATGCTGGCACCAAAGCCAGGCAGAGTTGGATTTGAGTCAGACCTCTGACACTGACTGACTGTGTGAACTTGGGCAAGTCACTTAATTTTTCTAGGCAAGTGTCTGTAAGTAAGACTGTAAGTTTCAGAGAAGTTGCTGACCTTCACTATATCCTTGAAATCCCAGGTCCAATCCCTTATTTACCTCTCATAAGATGATTAACGCTTCCCTCCATTACTGTGTTTCTAGGTCTTCCCATGAAGATCAGGGTGACCTGGACCTCACGTTGGGTGACCTTCCCTCCGATGAGGAAGAAGCAATCAACAGCTCTGATGAAGATGCTAGCTCTGATTCCAGCAAAGGGGAGCCTGATTCCCTGGAAGACAAGCAGGTATATTTTTTATTTCTAATTTAATTGATACTTAAATATTGAGTTTTTCTCATATGCTGGGCCTGCCTTCAGCAGTCAGTAGTCAGGAAGACTTGAGCTCAAATCTTGTCTCAGATGCTTAGTAGTTCTACATACCTGGACAAATCACTTGCCCTTCTGAGTCTCAGTTTCTTTATCTGTAAAAGGGAAGTCATTATATCACCTACCTCCCAGGTTTTTATGAGGATCAAATGAGCTAACTAACCTCTGTAAAGTGCTTTGCAGACCTTAAAGCAATGTATAGATGCTACATGTTATTATTAGCTGTCGTCATTTCCTTGGTGTGGAACACACAAAGGTGTTTTTTTCTTTTTTTTTCATTTTTTTCAAAATTTTTAAATTTAAATTAATTTCTTCTCCCTCCCACCTCCCTCACCCCATAGATTTTCTTAAAGTTTGACCTTTAGAAAAGCATTTTTCTAGTGCATTTATATTTCAAAGCAACTTCCTCCTATCACATAGAATCTGAGAAATTTCATCAATTTCAGAGGCATAGTACATAATGGATTACATTTTTTTGTGAATGACTTTTAGCCCCATGCATTAAGGGGTAGGGAGTGGGGGTGGGAAACAGTTATTCCTGTCAGTGTTTAAAGCTATCAGGAGATAGCAAGAGAGACTAGAAACAGTAACAGGGCTCTGCCCCCAGGAAGTTCTCTGGCTCACCTTGGCTGGTGTGAGCCTGGCAAAACTATTTCCACCTCTCAGGGCTCTGGACCAGTGGTGTAAAATTCCAATAGAAATGGGGCTCATGAAACAGTATATAAGGATCCTTATTGGCCATGAATAGACTTAGAAAACAACATTTTAACATTATACACACACACACAAATACGTACATTCCATTATATTTTTATTTATCTATTTTATGTATTATTTATCTGATGTGTATTGTATTAAATATTTCCCAATTACATTTTAATCTGTTTCAGGTTCTGTCCCCTTGACACATCAGCTGTAGATGACTCTGAGACTCAATGAGTCTCAAGGTTGCCTGGAGGGTGCCTATCCATTTTAGTAGAAGGAGTTTCCTTCCTTGGAAGTTCCTTGTATCAATGAGATCACAAGTGTAATGCTATAGCTATTTAAATTGATCATAAACCTTTTTTGGAATAGACTGAGCAGTTGGTCGAAGTTCCTAGGATTCCTACTTCTTTCATGGCTGAGTCTGCTCTAGAAAGACGGACTGTGCTCTCCGTCATCACATGGGTTTTCTCACCCCTGTTCTACTGCATTTCAGGGGTTCACCCAAGACAGTGAACCCTCTCTCGTACACTTGTCTGATCCTCGGGAGAAGGGGCAGTGCACGGTCAGTTTTTGGCTAAAGACGGTTAGCTCAGTGACCAAGTCCTGAAGCCAAATCTAGTTTTCTGATTCTCAGACTGCCTTCTTCCAGTAGATTCTGCTTTTTTCAGATGCTCCTGAATTCATTTTTAGCCAGGAGAGCTTTTTGTTGTCACCCCGACTGGTCCCCTTAGAGAGGCTGTTAGATAGTGTTGAAAATGACTTTGTTTTAGGTATTTTAATTATTGTTAAGAGCAGAACTTCTCAAAGTGTGATCTAGGGTCTCCTGGGGGCACTGTGCTGGTAAAACAACCCGCTCCCTGAAAAAAATGTAGGCATCACACACATTCAGTTTTCATCTGCATTCACGTTTTCTCCATCCTTCTTAAGTCTAGATAATCAGCAAGACAGTAAATCAAGCCCTGATTTGTAACATTAGCTGATTTCTGAGGTACAAATGGTCGAACTGAAAATTTAATGTTGTCACTCCTAGCTGGTTCCAACACACCCCTCTCTGGGTGTCCCAGAGACCCTTTACAAGGGTCTGCAAGGCCAAAACTAGTTTTTTTTTTTTAATCTTGATTTTTTTTAAAAGGTCCTGTCTATATACTATATAGAAATGGAAGTAATCTCAGCACATCCTATAAGTCAGCAATTAACCTTTAGCTTCAGGCTGGTGAGTGTGTCAGCAATCTTCCCAATGTAATCCGTTCTCTACCATGCTACCAAAATAAAATTCCCAAGGCAGAAGTCAGACTGACATCTCCTGCTCTGAAATCCATAATGATTTCTCATTATGTCTAGGATAAAACGCAACCTTCTCATCTTGGCACTTTGTAGTTGTTGTTTAGTTGTTTTTCACTTGTGTCCTACTCTTCACGACCCTATTTGGGATTTTCTTGGCAGAGATACTGGAGTGGTTTGCCATTTTCTTCTCCGGCTCATTTCATAGATGAGGAAACCGAGGCAAACAGGGTGAAGTGACTTGCCCAGGGTTACACAGCTAGTGTCTGAGGCTGGATTCGAACTCATGGAGATTAGTCTTCCTGACTCCTGTCCTGTTGCTTTATCCACTGTGCCTCATAGCTGCTCCTCATCTTGTCACTTAAGGCCTCAGTAATCTTGTTCTGATCTCCCTTTCCAGCCTTATTTCATGCTACCTTCCTTCATTCCCTAGATATTACAGCCAAATGGGGCTGCTAACTATTTCCTGAACTCAGTGTTCTATCTTTGGACTTCCAGCCTTTACACAGGCTATTCCCAGTGTCTGGAATGCCCACTTAATTACCTTTTAGAATTTATATTTTTCCTTTAAGTTTAGGTCAGGGACTACTTCTTCCCTGAAGTTTTCTCTCATCCCTCATATAGCTAGTAATTTCTAACTCTTACCTTATGCTATGCTTCTAGTAGAGAGTAAGCTCTTTGAGGGCAGGAATTCTGTTTCCTTAGCACTCAGTATAGTGCCTTACACTGTATTACAGTGTTTAATAAATGTTGGTAGAATTCTAGGATGGATAGAAATCACTTTTCTTCTTTTAAAAAAAATGTTAATAATCTTTTGTTTTCATACAACATCCATTTCCGAATCTCCCTTCCTTGGCTTTGTGAGCCATCCGTAGTAACAAAGGATAAAAAGTCTATATAGGTGACATGACCTGTTGGGGATCACACATCATTTGAATCTAGGTCTTCCTGACTGCAGGACAGGTCTTCTGTTCACTGTGACACCTCTTAATAGCAGGGTGCATTTTAATATTTCCAGAAACATTGAAGAGAAAGTTGTATTTAGCGGTTTTTTGAAATGAACAGGTCTAGAGAGGTAAACATCTAGAATTCCCATCCCTAGCTTTGTAATTCTTATCACAGGATTAGAGCACCAGGCTGGATTTCAGATCAAACGTGCTATTCTTGGCCCTCTCTCCAATTTATGCTTCAAAGCCTTCTACTTTCCTCCTGCTTTCATCTTGGTATCTACAACATGGGTGGAAGGACATGGGGACAGGATTTGTAGTCTGCTTTGAAATGAATGTAATTTGTGCACAGATTTCCATTAATTTACAAGAATGTTGTCATTCCTGATGCCATGTCTTTCAGAGTTTTGTAAGAAGGTCAGTTTCCAGGTCACTTTTTTTTTTCCATGAAGGGAATATGTCACTACAGAAACAGGCCTGGACTGAGAAACAGGAGACATGAGTCCTAATCACAGATTACATACTAGATAGCTCTGTGATCTTAGGAAAATTGCTAACCCCCTCTGGATTTACAGGCAAAACCTGGTTGGTAAAACAGAATTGGACTAGAATATTTTTGAAGGTGACTTCTACATTTAAAGTTTGAGCCTTTGGAATTTTGGACAAATTTGGTCATTGCCCTTACAAGTTAGTATTGGTTTTGAATTTTTCATATTTAATATTGGCTTTTTTCATCCAACTTTTAGGTGGTAATAAGTCATTGTCAGAAATGAGTGTATAAGCCTTTAGTTATTTATGTCGAGTAGTACTTTTCATAAATTAAGAATATGATAGGCAATGAGGACTATACCTAATAGAATTTTTGTATGTGTAAATTCTAAATATGAATTTTTAGTCCTCTCAATACATTTTCAGAACACAATGATTTTGATTCTTGAGGCATTTTCAGAAGTTAGTAAGTACCCCTTTGAATATAATATGAAAGAATAGTTTCTTCTGGGGAATCTTTGTCCTCACTAGGGTCAATGGCATTGAAATTTTCAATAGAACCTTTGTTTGGAATTTTATAATGAAGAATATTTTCCCTTGAATAATAGAATTTTGAGAGGGAACAAGTCTTCATGATACACAGAACTCCCATCACCCAGGAACCCTGCCAGAAAGCTATCCTAGGAACCATGTATATTTATAGGTTAGAATTCAACCTGAGCTTTATATAGCACATGAGCCCCTACCAGTGTGTTTCATTTTACTAGTCAGCTAAGGCATTTAATGAAATATAGTAATAAAAGTAACAACAGAACATTCTAAACTTTTGAGCACATTACTCCACAAATAAGTACACCCTCCTTGTGAAGAGTGAACATGTATAGGGATCTTACTTGGAACATAGTATGTGGCTAGCATAACTAGGTGAGGCATCAGTTAATGCCTCTAAAACTGGAGAGTTACTTATGACTTGTAATCATTGAGCAGCTATGTCATGTCTCCAAGCATTTTTTTTCTGCTGCGACTGGTCTTTGTTATCGGGATCCCTTGTTTCGTCTACTATATCTAGGAAGAAATTAGATATTCATCTCAGCACTTCTGAGAACTGTGCTGCCTAAATTTCCTTCCTGTCATTCAGACTTGAAACCTAGATGTTTTCCTCAACACCTCACTCTCACCACCAACATCACATCTCAAATGTGCCTCTGTACTGATACTGCTACCACTGTGGTGCAGGTCCTTATCTCCTCTCACTTAGACTATTGTGATAGCCTGCCAATTGATTTGCCTGATGCAGTTCTCTCCCTACTCTGGTCCATTCTCCAAAGTGATTTTCCTAAAGCACGGGTCTGACCCATTAACCTCCTCTCCCAATAAACTCCAGCAACTCCCTAATCAGGATCAAATACAAAATTCTCTTTTTGGCATTCAAAGCCCTTCATAACCTAACCCCATACCTACCTTTCCAGACTTCCCCATTTTAGGCTCCCACTCCTC